GTTTAGCAAATTACTCTTAACTTTAATATATCGTAAATATACATAATTTCACTTTCCGGTTTTCAAATGCAATTACATTTATCGCTGTTTGAAAGGTATTCGTGGTATGTACTTAGCTTGCCTGTCTCGGAGCACTGGTATTTGTAGACTTTCCGTCAGTATGTAATGTGCAGGCTTGTAGGTCATTTCTGTATCATGTCTAGGCTTGTAGGTCATCTCTGTATCATGTCTAGGCTTGTACGTCTTCTTTGTATCATGTCTAGGCTTGTACGTCATCTCTGTATCATGTCTAGGCTTGTAGGTCATCTCTGTATCATGTCTAGGCTTGTACGTCATCTCTGTATCATGTCTAGGCTTGTAGGTCATCTCTGTATCATGTCTAGGCTTGTAGGTCATCTCTGTATCATGTCTAGGCTTGTAGGTCATCTCTGTATCATGTCTAGTCTTGTAGGTCATCTCTGTATCATGTCTAGTCTTGTAGGTCATCTCTGTATCATGTCTTGTCTTGTAGGTCATCTCTGTATCATGTCTTGTCTTGTAGGTCATCTCTGTATCATGTCTAGGCTTGTAGGTCATCTCTGTATCATGTCTAGGCTTGTAGGTCATCTCTGTATCATGTCTAGGCTTGTAGGTCATCTCTGTATCATGTCTAGGCTTGTAGGTCATCTCTGTATCATGTCTAGGCTTGTAGGTCATCTCTGTATCATGTCTAGGCTTGTAGGTCATCTCTGTATCATGTCTAGGCTTGTAGGTCATCTCTGTATCATGACTAGGCTTGCTGGGTACCTCTGTATCATGTCTAGGCTTGTTGGGTACCTCTGTATCATGTCTAGACTTGTTAGGTACCTCTGTATCATGTCTAGGCCTGTTAGGTACCACTGTATCATGTCTAGGCTTGTTAGGCACCACTGTATCATGTCTAGGCTTGTTAGGTACCACTGTATCATGTCTAGGCTTGTTAGGCACCACTGTATCATGTCTAGGCTTGTTAGGTACCACTGTATCATGTCTAGGCTTGTTAGGTACCTCTGTATCATGTTTAGGCTTGTTAGGTACCTCTGTATCATGTCTGGATTTGTTAGGTACCTCTGTATCATGTCTGGATTTGTTGGGTACCTCTGTATCATGTCCCGGCTTGTTAGGTACCTCTGTATCATGTTTAGGCTTGTTAGGTGCCACTGTATCATGTTTAGGCTTGTTAGGTACCTCTGTATCATGTCTAGGCTTGTTCGGTACCTCTGTACCATGTCTAGGCTTGTTAGGTTCCTCTGTATAATGTCTAAGCATGCCACGATTATGTGTCATATTTGAGTTTTGAAGGGACCGCTTGTCATGTTTAGACTTTTCACACATATTTGTGTCGTGTTTAGACTTTTCACACATATCTGTGTCATGTTTAGACTTTTCACGGATATGTGTGTCATGTTTAGACTTTTATGTGTTATGTTTAGACCTTAACACATATCTGTGTTATGTTTAGGATTTTCACACATATTCGTGTCATGTTTAGACTTTTAACGAATATCTGTGTCATGTTTAGGTTTGTAATTCATCTCTGTCATGTTTAGGCTTTATAAGGATATATGGTCGTGTTTGGGTTTTCACGGATATATGTGTCATGTTTAGGCTTAGTAGGTCTATCATGTTTCATCATGTTTCATGGGTTTCAGCTTTGTGTCATGTGATGACTTTTCAACGACCACTGTGCTATGTCAAGATATTGCGAGTCACACACAGTTAGTTGCAGACCTGTGTGTCATGTCATGGCTGGATACAGATCTCTGTGTCGTGTGGCGGCTAGTTACATATCTCTGTGTTATGTGACGGCTAGTTACAGACCTGTGTGTCATGTCATGGCTGGTTACTGATCTTTGTGTTATGTGACGGCTAGTCACATATCTTTGTGTCGTGTGACGGCTAGTTACAGACCTGTGTGTCTTGTGGCGGCTAGTTACATATATCTGTGTCATTTCATGGCTAGTTACAGATCTTTGCGTGCGTGACGGCTAGTTACAGATTTCTGTGTCGTGTGACGGCGAGTTACATATCTCTGTGTCATATCATTGCTAGTTATAGATCTGTGTGTCATGTGACGGAGAGTTACAGATCTCTGTGTCATTTCATGGCTGCTTATAGATCTCTGTGTCATTTCATGGCTAGTTGCAGATCTTTGAGTCGTGTGACGGCCAGTTACATATCTCTGTGACATGTCATGGTTAGTTACAGATCTGTGTGTCATGTGACGGCTAGTTACAGATCTCTGTGCCGTGTGACGGCTAGTTACAGATCTCTGTGTCTTTTGGTGGCTAGTTACAGAACGCTGTGCCATGTGACAGAGAGTTACAGATTTATGTGTCGTGTGGTGGCTAGTAACAGATCTCTGTGTCATTTCATGTCTAGTTGCAGATCTCTTGTCATGTGACGGCTAGTTACAGATTTCTGCGTCCTGTGATGGCTAGTTACAGATCTCTGTGTCATATCATGGCTAGTTGCAGATCTTTGTGTCGTGTGACGGCTTGTTACAGATGTCTCTAACATGAAAGATGACGCGTCGCAGATATCTGTGCCACGAGAATGTTAGTCACGGATCTCTGTATCATGTGATTGGTAGTCACAGATCTCTGTCACACGAAAAGACTAGCCACAGTTTTCTATGTCATGTAATAGTTTGTTATGAGCCTCAAGTTACATCAGCAAATTTGCACTATACTGTACTATCGTAATGCTTATGCTTCGGTTGTGTTAAGTTACAGCTACGACCTGTGTTCCCGCACCAGGAGACATTCGGGTGGTGGAACACGCACACGCACACGCACACGCACACGCACACGCACATACACACAAGCACGCAGGCACGCCACACACCCGCCACACGCTTTACACTCGTTACACCCAGTAGGTGAGCCAGACACGCTGTGAGAGTAACAGAGCTATCGCTTACCTACCTGCCGCCCCTCTACTGTTTTCACTGTAGTGTTCCCTTACCGAGACCGGTATTCACGGAGGACCGCCAGCCGCACTCTCGTCGCGACATGACCGGAGTGGGTCTGGAGGCACGTTCTGTGACATCCCGTCCCGTCTGTCTCTCTCTGTATATTGTAGTCCTAACTAGGCATTAAAAGAATGCATCATAAACTCCCATTCAAGATGCATGAAGTGCTGTGGGGCAATGAGCAAACCCTGACCTAGCTGTGATTCAGCCGGGACAATATATCTGACTCTCCTACACACAACCTTCACAATCACACATTGTACACACAACCTTCACAATCACCCCATTGTACACACAACCTTCACAATCACCCCATTGTACACACAACCTTCACAATCACCCCATTGTACACACAACCTTCACAATCACCCCATTGTACACACAACCTTCACAATCACCCCATTGTACACAACCTTCAATCACCCCATTGTATTGTAATAACCTTCAATAATCACCCCATTGTACACACAACCTTCACAATCACCCCATTGTACACACAACCTTCACAATCACCCCATTGTACACACAACCTTCACAATCACCCCATTGTACACACAACCTTCACAATCACCCCATTGTACACACAACCTTCACAATCACCCCATTGTACACACAACCTTCACAATCACCCCATTGTACACACAATAACCTTCACAATCACCCATTGTACAATACAACCTTCACAATCACCCCATTGTACACACAACCTTCACAATCACCCCATTGTACACACAACCTTCACAATCACCCCATTGTACACACAACCTTCACAATCACCCCATTGTACACACAACCTTCACAATCACCCCTTTGTAAACACAACCTTCACAATCACCCATTGTACACACAACCTTCACAATCACCCCTTTTGTAAACACAACCTTCACAATCACCCCATTGTACATACTACCTGCAACATACACCACATTGTACATACTACCTGCACCATCCACCACATTGTACATACTACCTGCAAAATACACCACATTGTACATACTACCTGCAACATACACCACATTGAACATACTACCTGCAACATACACCACATTGTACATACTACCTGCAACATCCACCACATTCTACATACTACCTGCAAAATACACCACATTGAACATACTACCTGCAACATACACCACATTGAACATACTACCTGCAACATGCATTTTAACATACTCCCGTACACACTACATACACCACATTGTACATACCCGCCTGCAACATCCACCACATTGTACATACTACCTGCAACATAACATACCATACACCACATTGTACATACTACCTGCAACATACACCACATTACATACCTACAACATACATCACTACATACCACATACTACCTGCAACATACACCACATTGTACATACTACCTGCAACATACCTGCACACCCACATTGAACATACTACATACTACTGCAACATCCACACACATTGTACATACTACCGCGCAACATACTGCAACCACATTGTACACACTACCCGCAACATACACCACATTTAACATACTACCTGCAACATACACCACATTGTACATACTACCTGCAACATACACCACATTGTACATACTACCTGCAACATACACCACATTGAACATACTACCTGCAACATGCATCACATTGAACATACTACCTGCAACATACACCACATTGTACATACACACATTGTACATACCTGCAACATACACCACATTGTACATACTACCTGCAACATACACCACATTGTACATACTACCTGCAACATGCATCACATTTAACATACTCCCCGTAACATACACCACATTGAACATACTACCTGCAACATACACCACATTGTACATACTACCTGCAACATACACCACATTGTACATACTACCTGCAACATACACCACATTGTACATACTACCTGCAACATACACCACATTGTACATACTACCTGCAACATACACCACATTGTAGATACTACCTGCAACGTACACCACATTGTACATACTCCCCGTAACAGGCACCACATTGTACACACTACCTCGAACATGCATCACATTGTACACACTACCTGCAACATGCATCACATTGTACACACTACCTGCAACATGCATCACATTGTACACACTACCTGCAACATGCATCACATTGTACACACTACATGCAACATGCATCACATTGTACATACTACCTGCAACATCCACCATTGGAAGTTACAGTTGTTCCCAGGGATCATGTGTTGATGTGTAGCTGAGATGTTTCAGTTATCGGAAATATGTATATTTGCCATACTTGCTCATTAGCTGTACAAGGGCACGTGCTCACACAAGTGGCACTAACGTAGGTGAACTGTTTTCCACCACATTTAGGATTAAATCATTCATTCAATTATGTGAGCATATGTATAATGTTTTCGCCTGTACATGATACTGTAGAACAAGTACATGAACACTGGCACGGCCAGTATTACTCATCGAGCCGCAATCCGCTTGAAGATGTTGCAGAAAGAATATATCGTCCTTCGACCGGGTGTCCCAGCCACCCAAGTCGTTCTGACCTCTTCATATTGCTGAAAGTGTAACGATCAGAAAACACTTACTCAGGGGATACACGAGGACATCAACCACCACTGATCACTGTGTTAGACCAGAACATAAACCACCCCGTATCACTGTGTTACACGAAGACATCAACCACCCTTATCACTGTGTTACACGAGGACATCAACCACCCTTATCACTATGTTACACAAGGACATCAACCATCCTTATCACGGTGTTACACAAGGAGATAAACCACCCTTATCACTGTGAAACACGAGGACAGCAACCACCCTTATCACTGTGTTACACGAGGACAGCAACCACCCTTATCACTGTGTTACACGAGGACAGCAACCACCCTTATCACTGTGTTACACGATGACATCAACCACCCTTATCACTATGTTACACGACGACATCAACCACCGTTATCACTGTGTTACACGAGGACATCAACCACCCTTATCACTATGTTACACGAGGACAGCAACCACCCTTATCACTATGTTACACGAGGACAATTCAACCACCCCTATCACTGTGTTACACGACGACACCCAACCAACCTTATCACTGTGTTACACGAGGACATCAACCACCCTTATCACTATGTTACACGAGGACATCAACCACCCTTATCACTTTGTTAAACGAGGACACCAACCACCCTTATCACTGTGTTACACGAGGACATCAACCACCCTTATCACTGTGTTGCACAAGGACATCAGCCACCCTTATTACTGTGTTACACGAGGACAGCAACCACCCTTATCACTATGTTACACGAGGACATCAACCACCCTTAACTCTGTGTTACACGAGGTCATCAACCACCCTTATCACTATGTTACACGAGGACAGCAACCACCCTTATCACTATATGTTACACGAGGACATCAACCACCCTTATCACTGTGTTACACGAGGACATCAACCACCCTTATCACTGTGTTACACGAGGACATCAACCACCCTTATCACTGTGTTACATGAGGGGACATCAGCCACCCTTATCACTGTCAACCACAGTGTTATACTGTCTCACAGTACCATGTAACACTGTTACATGGTGTTGCGGAGACAGTATAACAATGTTATAATGTTGCGGACAATACAATGTATAACAGTGAGACAGTATAAACACCATGTACAAGGGAGTTGTGAGACACCATAACACTGTTACAAGATTGTCTCACAACACCATGTAACAGTGCTATACTGTCTCACAACACCATGTACCAGTGCTATACTGTCTCACAACACCATGTACCAGGTCTATACTGTCTCACAACACCATGTAACAGTGTTATACTGTCTCACAACACCATGTAACAGTGCTATACTGTCTCCCAACACCATGTAACAGTGCTATACTGTCTCACAACACCATGTACCAGTGCTATACTGTCTCACAACACCATGTAACAGTGTCCTATACTGTCTCCCAACACCATGTAACAGTGCTATACTGTCTCACAACACCATGTAACAGTGCTATACTGTCTCACAACACCATGTAACAGTGTTATACTGTCTCACAACACCATGTGACAGCGCTATACTGTCTCAAAACACCATGTACCAGGTCTATACTGTCTCACAACACCATGTAACAGTGTTATACTGTCTCACAACACCATGTGACAGCTATACTGTCTCACAACACCATGTACCAGGTCTGTCTCACAACACCATGTACCAGGTCTATACTGTCTCACAACACCATGTAACAGTGTTATACTGTCTCACAACACCATGTAACCAGTGCTATACTGTCTCACAACACCATGTACCAGTGCTATACTGTCTCACAACACCATGTACCAGTGCTATACTGTCTCACAACACCATGTAACAGTGCTATACTGTCTCACAATACCATGTACCAGTGCTATACTGTCTCACAACACCATGTGACATTGCTATACTGTACTCACAACATCATGTACCAGTGTCCATACTGTCTCACAACACCATGTGACAGTGCTATACTGTCTCACAACACCATGTAACAGTGTTATACTGTCTCACAATACCATGTGACAGTGCTATACTGTACTCGCAACATCTTGTAACAGTGTTCTCACCTTAAACTTTGACTAACGCTTCTTCCATCTATTCCTCTCTCAACTGGAACCTACTCTGACAGACCGTTCCCTCATTTCCATCTGTCACACTAAACGCATATGATCCTTGCTCAGAACAGCTTTGTACAGAGGTGCTACACGGTAACACATCTTGTTGACTAACTCGGTAGCTAAATGTTCTCAGTTTCTTTCTGCTCAACTTTCTTTCAGCATTGCCTGCTCAATTTAAGATTCCTGCTGTGACCAAATGGATTGTGTGATTGTAGACAGCACCCTGCTGCTGACAACGGAGTGGTCACAGAAACCATACAGTTACAACGTCAAGGGGAAATAGAGCAAAACGGATATTTATGTATCATACGGAAGCAAGCGTGTGAGGCCTCGCGATACTCAGTGTACTTGAATTTGCACAGCATGTGGCAAAAGAGGTTGGATCCAAGTGGCATCGTAGCTTTAACATGGAATCCTGTCAAATCCTGGTTGTGGGTAGCCAATCAATACTGGCAATCTTCGCTGTGATAAACAAGTTTATTATTGCAAAATAAATACTCTATGTACTTTTTGTGCTCATCTTACACACCCAAGTATGCTTCACTTAACACCAAGATCGAATATATACACCTAATTCTTACGAATACGTCCCTCCAACACTTATTTCCTGAAACTTGTTTCTGATCCACAATTTTAACTAAATAAAAATCCGCTATCCCAAGCGCTATCCGTTCGAGTTAGGTAGGTTTCCCGTGGCACACATGAGTACATATGTTTACTTGTTCTCTGTTAATGTCTCTAATTTGTGCAGGTTGATATATTCTTATGCATTCTTAGATAACATGGACAAGCTGGTCCCACCCCAGTTTATTCTCTTACGGTGGGATCACCACCTCCATCATCTACGCAAAATCCAGAGATGTACAGCAGACTGTACCCCCAAACACTTGACAATCAACTGTTCAATGGAAGTGCGAAGAAGCAGTGGAAGTTCTGGAGTCGGAAGAGAATAGGAAGTTTCTTTGGGCCATAACTATCCTCTTTGCACGTGAGACTCCTGCCAAGCAAGGCTGTTGAGGATTATATTTAATTTGTTTTTTTACCGGTTCTATTGTCAAGGGAACAAGCCACGCAGGGCCCACGAGAGCTGGCAACACAGTAGGAGCAAACCCAAGACCAAGCCAGAGGTTACGGCAAGACTTTCCGGCCAGGAAGTTTGGGCAAGCCCGAGTCAAGTTTACTTCCCCAGACAGCAATAGCAATAACTTATACCACATTAGAAATAGATGCCAGCCTTTCGGGTGAAGCTATTCCAGGGTCTAGTGGGCAGCCGTTTGTAACGTTTTATAAAAAAAATAGAAGATCATAACGAATGGTTAGTGAATCCTTAAGGTCATCAAACAGGGATACTATCTTCAGTTCGTCAAGAGACCTCCGCTATCAGCTTCGGGAGCTCAAGTTTCAGAGGAAATAGCAGCAGTGGACAAGCTCTTAAACAAGAAGGTTTATGTCTAGATGAACCATTCGGACCCTGGGATATGTTTTTTCTCACCAAGAAGGATACAACAGAAACGAAAATGATCATCAATCTGAAGAACCTCAACGAGGAATACTTGAGACTGAGACTTCCAAACGGGAATCTATTATCTCCATAGATCTACAGGACGCTTATGTAATAGGACGTATTGATTGAGACACAATGCATATCAGATTCATTTAGAATTGGATCAATCAACATCGAGGGAATGAACTAGACTCTGTCATAATACCCATGACGTACATGACTCCAGTCAGGATGCCATCACCGGATCATTATATACTACCCATCAAAAGTTTAGACTCACTAGTGTAAATGTAGCCACTTACTTGTCCACTGTTCTAAACTAGCTTTTTGCAAAATATTCCATACTGTTTAAAGGTACTGTTTAGTTATGAACTGGTGTATTGTAAAACATATTCGTAACATTGAAAAGATTATTGTCATGAGTTCAGTAAATGATTAAAATCTGTGAAAATTGGCGAATTCTTAACAAAACTTTACACCAAAACGAATCTGTTCACATGCACGACATTTGCTCATGCCTTTCGCAATTTGAAGCATCATCCTTGTGCAATTCATCTGCATAAGGTTTTCAGTTGGTTCCCCCCAAGTTGGTGGAGAAATTCATCTTCGATGTAACCACATACATATACATAACATATAGTGAGTGCTTTAAGTGAGTCTAAACTTTTGATGGGTAATATATTTTCATTGATGCTTAACTCACAGGATAGGGAGCTACAAGACAAGACGGCATCATGTTTTGGGGAGTTCGATTTATCAGTCCATATCAATTTTTTTGGAAATAAGAGCCATCTTACTACTCATCAAGTACTGGGCATTAATCCACAGGAATTCCTTACTATTAGTTGCTCTGGACTGCACCACGTTGTTGCCTGTATTAACAGACTCGGAGGGGCTATCAAAATGTTTTACGAGGGGCTATCAAAATGTTTTGAGCCTAAAATATTTACAGGCGGAACATCGTGGCATTCCCCATGTATTTCTTAACATAATCGCACTTGGTCCATGTATTTCTCAACATAATCGCACTTGGTCCATCTAGTCTGCCAGGCATTTATGTCTTGTCTACAGAAGTCCTTTTCCAGGTTCTGTAGCCAGGTCCTGCACGTCTTCACCGTTGTAGTGACTTCAGGATCATCCTGAATCTCCTACCGCAGAGGTGCTTCTTCAGATTAGGAAACAGGTGGCGGTCACATGGGGTCAGGTCTGTCGTGATATGCAGGCCAAACTGATTGTTGTGATCTTGGAAGCGTCTCTTGCTGCATTTGGTTGAGTCTAACGCCTCAAATGGTTGACTTGAAATCAGGTTATGTCCAATGAGGGATGTTGCTTGTTTTTCATTGAGTGGACGAAATATCAACTGGAACTGACGTCATCTGAAGTATTGTTCACATGAAGAGATATTCTTAAGTGTTGCTATAAGCAGGTCTGCTTGTTTTAACAAACTGTATGGTTGTCTTCCAAACGTAGTTATGCGCACTCTGGGCCCAGCAAGCCTATGATTGATTTGGCAATCAAGTGTTAGAGGGACGTGTTACAAAATTTTGAAGTATTATCAACAATGAACATCCGTCCCCAGAATCCCAAAGTACCTCACTTAAGCATTCCAAGGCAAAAATATGAGGTTCTCGTGCGCACGTCAGGGGAAGATTACTCCAAGGGATAGTGCTTTGGAGAACCGACATGGAGTACAACAACACCTTGTGATGGGTGTTTCAATGTCTTATGCAAGTTAAACCTGTGGATTAGAAACGAGTTTCAGGAAAGACGGCAATCAAGTGTTGGAGGTAGCAATCAAAGAATTATTATCACTGTTGATAATACTACGTACACAACCAATAGGAAAATAGGCATGATTCAGTATACTACTCATATCATCATGGTGCAGTATACTACTCATATCATCATGGTGCAGTATACTACTGATATCATCATACTGCAGTATACTACTGTTATCATCATGGTGCAGTATACTACTCATATCATCATGGTGCAGTATACTACTCATATCATCATGGTGCAGTATACTATTCATATATCATATGCTGCAGTATACTACTCATATCATCATGGTGCAGTATACTACTGATATCATCATGGTGCAGTATACTACTGATATCATCATGGTGCAGTATACTACTCATATCATCATGGTGCAGTATACTACTGTTATCATCATGGTGCAGTATACTACTCATATCATCATGGTGCAGTATACTACTGATATCATCATGGTGCAGTACTATGCTGATATCATCATGGTGCAGTATACTGCTGATATCATCATGGTGCAGTATACTACTCATATCATCATGGTGCAGTATACTACTGTTATCATCATGGTGCAGTATACTACTCATATCATCATGGTGCAGTATACTACTCATATCATCATGGTGCAGTATACTACTCATATCATCATGGTGCAGTATACTACTGATATCATCATGGTGCAGTATACTACTGATATCATCATGGTGCAGTATACTACTGATATCATCATGGTGCATATCATACTACTCATATATCATCATGGTGCAGTATACTACTGATATCATCATGGTGCAGTATACTACTCATATCATCATGGTGCAGTATACTACTGTTATCATCATGGTGCAGTATACTACTGTTATCATCATGGTGCAGTATACTACTCATATCATCATGGTGCAGTATACTACTGATATCATCATGGTGCAGTATACTACTCATATCATCATGGTGCAGTATACTACTGATATCATCATGGTGCAGTATACTACTGATATCATCATGGTGCAGTATACTACTGATATCATCATGGTGCAGTATACTACTCATATCATCATGGTGCAGTATCATCATGGTGCAGTACTCATATCATCATGGTGCAGTATACTACTGATATCATCATGGTGCATATACTACTGTATGTCATGGTGCAGTATACTACTCATATCATCATGGTGCAGTATACTACTGATATCATCATGGTGCAGTATACTACTCGATATCATCATGGTGCAGTATACAGTCTACTCATACTCATATCATCATGGTGCAGTTGTCTACTCACTTCATCATGGTGCAGTATAGGAGTTGTCTGTCAGTATCATCATGGTGCAATATACTACTCATGTCATCATGTGCAGTATACTACTCATATCATCATGGTGCAGTATACTACTGTCATCACACTATGTCTGCGATACAGGAGTCATCATGGTGCAGTCACTTCACACATATCATCGATGTAGGTGCAGTATGTCAGTCACATGCACTGTCTCGATATCATCATCAGTGCAGTATACTACTGATATCATCATGGTGCAGTATACTGCTGATATCATCATGGTGCAGTATACTACTCATACCATCATGTTTCGATGTAGGAGTTGTCTGTCAGTCACATCACACTATGTCTCGATACAGGAGTTGTCTGTCAGTCACTTCACACTATGTCTCGATGTAGGAGTTGTCTGTCAGTCACATCACACTATGTCTCGATACAGGAGTTGTCTGTCAGTCACTTCACACTATGTCTCGATGTAGGAGTTGTCTGTCAGTCACTTCACACTATGTCTCGATACAGGAGTTGTCTGTCAGTCACATCACACTATGTCTCGATACAGGAATTGTCTGTCAGTCACATCACACTATGTCTCGATACAGGAGTTGTCTGTCAGTCACATCACACTATGTCTCGATACAGGAGTTGTCTGTCAGTCACATCACACTATGTCTCGATACAGGAGTTGTCTGTCAGTCACATCACACTATGTCTCGATGTAGGAGTTGTCTGTCAGTCACATCACACTATGTCTCGATACAGGAGTTGTCTGTCAGTCACTTCACACTATGTCTCGATACAGGAGTTGTCTGTCAGTCACTTCACACTATGTCTCGATACAGGAGTTGTCTGTCATATCACACTACCTTTTGATACAAGAGTTGTCTGTCAGTCATTTTACACTATGTCTCACTATTGGACAAATGTGCCTATGTTATTTTTACTACGATACACAAGAGGATTGTAAATGCACGTTGCCGTGAGAGGAATGTCACCCCGACTGCAGTCAGTCTCGGCTCACGAAGAAAATATCTCACCGTCAATATATCTCACCGTCAATATATCTCAGAATAACGAAACTGATAACTCCCTTACTTGTCTCAGACTGAGATACATCACACCTGACTGGGTCTCGGGGTCTCGGGGTCTCCTGTGTAGACCAGCTCCACCGACATTATAAAACAAAGTTGGTCTGCTTGATTGTTGATTAAAATGTTTGCCAAGATGAGCAAGCAAAGAGATTTCTCACTTTTCAGCATAACATCTTTTGTGTGTTGAGATAAGATCTCCTTTTGCTTTGTGTACAGACGGATTTACGGGACTTGACCTCTTAGTGCCTGTGAGACTTAAACACTCTCTCGGATTGAACATTAATGTGTTGTCTGAAACAAAGCAGTGACAACTATCAGACTGACTGAATGATATCATTTCAAACAAGAGTTGATTGAGAAGTTCCATCGCAAGCTGTTGGCTCCAAAATGTTAAAATAAGGTTTTGATACTGGTTATACGTAGACTACATAAGGTTTGATACTCGCGACATTGGGTGCACAATGACAGAATGTGCTTTGATACTCGCGACATTGGGTGCACACTGACAGAATGTGGTTTGATGCCCGCGACATTGGGTGCACACTGACAGAATGTGGTTTGATGCTCGCGACATTGGGTGCACACTGACAGAATGTGGTTTGATACACGCGACATTGGTTGCACACAGAATGTGGTTTGAATGTGGTTTGATACTGCGACATGTGGTTTGATACTCGCGACATTGGTTGCACACTGACAGAATGTGGTTTGATACTCGCGACATTGGTTGCACACTGACAGAATGTGGTTTGATGCTCGCGACATTGGGTGCACACTGACAGAATGTGGTTTGATACTCGCGACATTGGTTGCACACTGACAGAATGTGGTTTGATACTCGCGACATTGGTTGCACACTGACAGAATGTGGTTTGATGCTCGCGACATTGGGTGCACACTGACAGAATGTGGTTTGATGCTCGCGACATTGGGTGCACACTGACAGAATGTGGTTTGATGCTCGCGACATTGGGTGCACACTGACAGAATGTGGTTTGATGCTCGCGACATTGGGTGCACACTGACAGAATGTGGTTTGATGCTCGCGACATTGGGTGCACACTGACAGAATGTGGTTTGATGCTCGCCACATTGGTTGCACACTGACAGAATGTGGTACTTGTAACATGATTGTTGCCAGGTTGAAACTAAATATACTCAGCAGCAAAAAAACTTCAATACGAATTTAAAATGAGATAGGCACTGTAATCAAATCATTATAGAAATGGACATAATAAGCGGTACTTATCATGCAGTTCTCCATTGCCTGTATCGCCAGTTTTGGTGTTGTAGGGCAAACTGTAGACGTTCACGCCGATGACGAGGGGTGAGGATAGGTCCACGGTAAGGTCTATGGCAATGGAGGTTCCCGCTGTTAAGACGTCGGCGTACTGTATCAGTACTGGCGTGCTGTTACGGATGCCTGCATGAAGGGATTCTGTACATGCTGTCGCACAACATGGCGGTCTTGTCGTCTTGTGGTCCCCCTTGGTCTGCCAGTACGGGGGCGATCATTTTTGGTGTTAGTGGCCCGGAAACGTTGCTGCAGCCTGTAGATGGTCCGAACATTGACCTGAAAGTGATTGGCAAAAGCTTGTGCAGAGTGGCCAGCTTCAAGTCTTCCTAGCGCCTGGTTCCTCTGAGCTGTCGTGAGAAGGGGCATCCTGCTGACGTTGTAATGTGAATGTTTCCACCAGGTTTGGGGGTGCATTTTATAGGGCTGATCCTTGTGAACAGCACGTGCAGCAAGAGTTGCATGAAAAACATGGATAACACCGTACCATCTCCGAGATCAGGTTGCGTTTTTGAGACCATTTCCTTGGAAGGAATGTCTTTGCTCAGTTGGAGATGTTGTCATAAATATTCAATCAAAACATTAAAAGAGTTTCCGTTTCTGGGAAGGAAAATTCCAAACTGATGTTTCATTTGCTGCTTAGTATAGTGAACAGGAAATCGTTCCGTAAAAGAACTGTGTGTAAAACCAACCAACAAACAAGAAATATGCTATAGTTAACACTAAGTCTTGTATTCCAAAGTCAATTAAGTTCACGAAGTAGTACAAATTTTGAGGTAATACAATACAAGAGCAGTCATTACAGCAATAAAGACAATGGTGGTAATATTCACCTCTCAGCCACAGTAATCGTACTTTTGACTATAGGTCTAGGCAGGGTATATAATCATCGCACACACTGATGCTCATCTTTTAACTTGAGCTTACTTCACATATTCCCAATACATACAGCATACTTCACATATTCTCCATTCATACAACATTTTTCACATATTCTCCATACACACAGCATACTTCACATATTTTCCCTAGATAAAGCATACATCACATATTCTACTGACAAACAGCATGCTTCACATATTCTCCATAGAAACAGCATACTTCACATATTCTCCATAGAAACAGCATACTTCACATATTCTACTGACAAACAGCATGCTTCACATATTTCACCATACAAACCACACATATCACACATTTACCCCTGTTTACAGCCATCTTGACATGTTCCTCCACACATTTACCCCTGTTTACAGCCATCTTGACATGTTCCTCCACACATTTACCCCTGTTTACAGCCATCTTGACATGTTCTTCCACACATTTACTCCTGTTTACAGCCATCTTGACATGTTCCTCCACACATTTACACCTGTTTACAGCCATCTTGACATGTTCCTCTTTCTCCTGTTTACAGCCATCTTGACATGTATCTTTCACATTTTCTCCCCTGTTTGGTCCAGTTCCTTGGCTTGGTTGTCCATGTCCTCCAGTTCCAGTCCATTCCTCCATGCTGTTGATCCACTGTTCCATCCCACCATTGGCCAGCCTTCCTTATGTGTTCTTCCACATTTACTCCTGTTTACAGTTTCATCTTGACATGTTCCTCCATTTTACCCTGTTTCCTTCCATCTTGACCTCCTTGTCCTCATTTGCCTCCATGTTTTAATGTTTCTTCACATTCCGTTCATCCATCCATCACATTTACTCCTGTTTGCATTTCTTGACATGTTCCTCCATTTACCCTGTTTACAGCCATCTTGACATGTTCCTCCACACATTTTACCCTGTTTGTGTCTTGACATGTTCCTCCATTCCTCATCTTGTTTACCTCCATTTTACCTGTTCCATGTCTTGTTTATCCATTCCTCCACATTTACCCCTTCCTTCATCTGTTTCATTCCTCCACCATTCCTGTTTACAGCCATGTTCTGTGTCCATCCTGGGAATTCCTCCACATTTACCATTTCCTCCATTTCATTTCCTCCATGTCCATTTTTCCATTCCTCATTTCATCTGTGTTCCTCCATCTGTTCCTTCCATTTGTTCCTCCATATCCTTGTATCTTTTGTCCATTCCATTTGTGTCTTGGTCATTCCTCCATATTATTCCTGTTCCATTTTATTTCCTGTGTTGTGATTCCTTTGTCTTATTCCATGTGTCTTGGTGTTCCTCCATTCCATCTTCCATTCTTGTTTATCTTCCTTCCTGTTCCTCCATTTATCCATTCCATGTCTTGTTTATATTCCTCCACCATGTCTTGTTCCATTCCTCCTTGTGTTTCTTCCTCCATTCTCATATTTCCTCCATCTTGTTTATTGTTCCTCCACATTTTACCATGTTTCCTATTCATCTTGTCTTGTGTCATTCCTCCACCATGTTTCCATTTCATTCCTGTTTGTGTCTTGTTGGTCATTCCATTTTCTTCCATCTTGTGTTCCTCCATTTTCTTTGTGTTCCTCCATCTTGTTTATCGTTCCACGTTGTATTTCCATCTTGTTATTCCTCCATTTCCTGTCTTGTTGGTGTTCCTCCACATTTATTTCTTCTGTTTCCATTTCCTCGTTCCTCCATGTCTTGTTGTTCCTCCATCTGTCCTGTCCATTCTCCTTTTTCCTCCATTTCTTGTCATCCTCCTTGGTCATTCCTCCATCTTGTCCATTCTTCCATGTCTTCCTCCTTGTCTTTGTTCCTCCATTCTTCCATGTTCCTCCATTTATGTTTCATGTGTGTTCCTCCACATTCTTTGTGTCTTGTGTTCCTCCTTGGTGTTCTGTGTCATGTCTTGTCTTGTGTTCCTCCATTTTATCCTGTTTGTGTCGTGTGTGTTCCTCCATTTTCTCCTGTCGTGTGTGTCGTTTCCTCCTTGTGTGTGTGTTCCTGTCTGTTGTTCCTCCATGTTCTCCATTTCTTGTTCCACATTTCCTCCTGTTTCTTGGTTGTTTCCTCCATTTGTGTTTGTTCCTCCATTTCTTGTCTTGGTTTCCTCCTGTGTCCTCTGTTGTGACGTTCCTCCATTTGTCCTCCATTTTCCTCCTGTGTCTTGTTGTTCCTCCATTGTGTGTTGTTTCTCCATTGTCTGTGTGTTCCTCCATTTGTCCTCCTCCATCTTGTTTGTTCTTGTCGTTTCCTCCAGTGTTCCTCCATTTCCTGTGTCTTGTGTTTCCTCCATTTTCTCCTGTGTTTCATCTTTGTTTTCCTCCTTGTTCTTGTTCCTCCATTCCTCCTGTTTGTGTCCAGTTTGTGTCTCCACGTTTCCTCCTGTTCCTGTTGTCTTGTGTTCCTCACGTTTTTCTCCCTGTCTTTCAATGCGTCATGGTCCTCCTTTCCTTTGTTCTCCTGTTCCTGATTTGTCTTGACATCCACGTTTCTCCTGTTTGGTCTTGACGTGTTCCTCCATTTTGATCTTGATCGTCCTGACGTGGATGTTCTGTGGGTCTGTTCAGGGTCTCTAAGGCGTCCAACTGCAAGGGACTGTAGCAGTGTGGCCACGCGCCCTGTGTGCGGAACGGACGGAAAAACCTACCTGTCAAGGTGTGAACTCAAAAAGGCAAAGAAGTGTGACGGCAGACGAGTCAAGGTCAGAAAAAAAGGACACTGTTCCGGTAAGTGTATTGTCATAATTCACCAAAAGCCGATATCCTATGTGGGTGCGGGTGTGGGTGTTTGTGTGAGGGGGGTAGGACGGGACGAAGGAATATTTTCCTCTCTCTTTACACCTCATGGTGCCCGAAGGAATAGAGTTCTCCATCTTCACAATGATGCCTAAGGAACAACCGGGGGATAGACTTCTCTCTCTTTACACAAATGATGTTAGTGGCATAGATACAAGATCATGAGACACATAACCTGATTATAATGAATATCGTGTATGTATGCGTGTGTGTGCGTGTGCGTGTGCGTGCGTGTGCTTCCTTATGTGTGTAAGTGTCCGTTATTGAAGCAGGCACATGTGCACAGAACACGTCACACCCTCCCACACCTGTACCCAAATTCCAACATGGCCGCAGGTTCTACAGACCAACACAGTATTTGAAAAGTAGACGTTGCAAGTCCTCAGTCACTTCGTCAAACACTTTTACAATACACTTTGTAGGTGAACATTCCACGCTGGCCCGTGTACCTGGCGTTCGGGACTGCCTCGCCTGGCGGCCACATACAGGTGACATAACTACACAGGTGTTCAAACTTTCCCCGGCAGCCTTCTATTGTACGGTGTGCAGGTGTCCCCTCCAGATTCCAGTGTTAAGAGCTCTCCACTCTCTCTCTCTCTCTCTCTTACAGTCTCTATTCCCGCTAGAGGGTGCTACACGTTCCTGCACGTGCGGCTCACCTGCGTGTAGACACACTGTGAGCTCTACAGCACTGCGTGTATGTGCATGTTGTTGCTGTCGGTATGCAGGCGTGAATGGTAGGAGTCGGTCTGTTATGCCTCAATCATCTAAGGACGCACTATGTAATTTGTCCCATTACTCAGTGTCTCTGTACCCCAACAGTTACTCGAAACAAATATTTTACGTGACCTTATGCACACACCTTCCAATGCGCACACACCTTCCAATGCTTACACAGCCGAATCTAAGGATATTTATGAGAATATTACATAGAACATGATGTTCAGCAGTACAACTTTAGAGGAGTACCGTGTCACACCTGGGACATCTGAGACTTGGTGCCTCACTAAAAGTAGCTGTACAATCAACATATTTTGTTTGGAAGTGAACACCGTATCCTTCATCTCCTTCAATCCGAAACGTGTCCTCCCTCAAGACCTACCTGGGTACTCCCTGCAGTACTCCCCTACCTGTGTACCTCCCTGGGGTACTCCCCTACCTGTGTACCTCCCTGCAGTACTACCCTACCTGTGTACCTCCCTGGGGTACTCCCCTACCTGTGTACCTCCCTGGGGTACTCCCCTACCTGTGTACCTCGCTGCAGTAATCCCCTACCTGTGTACCTACCTGGGGTACTCCCCTACCTGTGTACCTCCCTGGGGTACTCCCCTACCTGTGTACCTCCCTGCAGTAATCCCCTACCTGTGTACCTCCCTGGGGTACTCCCCTACCTGTGTACCTCCCTGCAGTAATCCCCTACCTGTGTACCTCCCTGGGGTACTCCCCTACCTGTGTACCTCCCTGCAGTAATCCCCTACCTGTGTACCTCCCTGCAGTACTCCCCTACCTGTGTACCTCCCTGCAGTAATCCCCTTCCTGTGTACCTCCCTGCAGTAATCCCTTCCTGTGTACCTCCCTGCAGTAATCCCTTCCTGTGTACCTCCCTGCAGTAATGCCCTTCCTGTGTACCTCCCTGCAGTAATCCCCTTCCTGTGTACCTTCCTGCAGCAATCCCCTACCTGTGTACCTCCCTGCAGTAATGCCCCTTCCTGTGTACCTCCCTGCAGTAATGCCCTTCCTGTGTACCTCCCTGCCCTTCCTGTGTGTACCTCCCTGCAGTAATGCCCTTCCTGTGTACTTCCCTGCAGTAATCCCCTACCTGTTTACCTCCCTGCAGTAATCCCCTTCCTGTGTACCTCCCTGCAGTAATGCCCTTCCTGTGTACCTCCCTGCAGTAATGCCCTTCCTGTGTACCTCCCTGGGGTACTCCCCTACCTGTGTACCTCCCTGGGGTACTCCCCTATCTGTCTACCTCCCTCAGGTCCTACTCTACCTGTGTACCTCCACGAAGTCCTACTCTACCTGTGTACCTTCCTCAAGTCCTACTCTACCTGTTAACCTCCACGAAGTCCTACTCTACCTGTGTACCTCCACCAGGTCCTACTCTACCTGTGTACCTCCCCGAAGTCGTACTCTACCTGTGTACCTCCACGAAGTCGTACTCTACCTGTGTACCTCCACGAAGTCGTACTCTACCTGTGTACCTCCACGAAGTCCTACTCTACCTGTGTACCTTCCTCAAGTCCTGCTCTACCTGTGTACCTCCACCTCGCCTACTCTACCTGTGTACCTCCCTCAGGTCCTACTCTACCTGTGTACCTCCACCAAGTCCTACTCTACCTTCCTCAAGTCCTACTCTACCTGTCTACCTCCACCAAGTCCTACTCTACTTGTGTACCTCCCTCAGGTCCTACTCTACCTGTGTCCCTCCACCAAGTCCTACTCTACCTGTGTACCTTCCTCAAGTCCTGCTCTACCTGTGTACCTCCCTCAGGTCCTACTCTACCTGTGTACCTCCACGAAGTCCTACTCTACCTGTGTACCTTCCTCAAGTCCTACTCTACCTGTGTACCTCCCTCAGGTCCTACTCTACCTGTGTACCTCCACCAAGTCCTACTCTACCTCTGTACCTCCACCAAGTCTTACTCTACCTGTGTACCTCCACGAAGTCCTACTCTACCTGTGTACCTTCCTCAAGTCCTGCTCTACCTGTGTACCTCCACCAAGTCCTACTCTACCTGTGTACCTCCACCAAGTCCTACTCTACCTGTGTACCTCCACCAAGTCCTACTCTACCTGTGTACCTTCCTCAAGTCCTACTCTACCTGTTTACCTCCACGAAGTCCTACTCTACCTGTGTACCTTCCTCAAGTCCTGCTCTACCTGTGTACCTTCCTCAAGTCCTACTCTACCTGTGTACCTCCACCAAGTCCTACTCTACCTGTGTACCTCCACCAAGTCCTACTCTACCTGTGTACCTCCCTCAAGTCCTGCTCTACCTGTGTACCTCCACGAAGTCCTACTCTACCTGTGTACCTTCCTCAAGTCCTACTCTACCTGTGTTCCTCCACCAAGTCCTACTCTACCTGTGTACCTTCCTCAAGTCCCACTCTACCTGTGTTCCTCCACCAAGTCCTACTCTACCTGTGTACCTCCACCAAGTCCTTCTCTACCTGTGTACCTTCCTCAAGTCCTGCTCTACCTGTGTACCTTCCTCAAGTCCTACTCTACCTGTGTACCTTCCTCAAGTCCTATTCTACCTGTCTACCTTCCTCAAGTCCTGCTCTACCTGTGTACCTCCACGAAGTCCTACTCTACCTGTGTACCTCCCTCATGTCCTACTCTACCTGTGTACCTCCACGAAGTCCTACTCTACCTTCCTCAAGTCCTACTCTACCTGTGTACCTCCCTCAAGTCCCTAATCCCCACCATACACACACATGTGTTCCCAACCATGCACGCCGATATATTCCCCACTATACACACATGTGTTCCCAACCATGCACACAGATATGTTTCCCATCATAGACTCAGTCTTCCTGTCTGTATTCGCTACAGCTGAGTACCTGGTGGATGTCTTCAATGTTTCTACCTTAGCATACCCTGTTTAGGTCACCCCGCATTTATAACCAGAACTGCTTTGAAACACCAGGAACCCGTTTCACAAAGCTACCGTAGCGCTACGATTGTCGTACCTGCTATACTGTAACATAGACTTACGACAGTCGTAGCGCTACGATTGTCGTACCTGCTATACTGTAACATAGACTTACGACAGTCGTAGCGCTACGATTGTCGTACCTGCTATACTGTAACATAGACTTACGACAGTCGTAGCGCTACGAATGTCGTACCTGCTATACTGTAACATAGACTTACGACAGTCGTAGCACTACGATTGTCGTACCTGCTATACTGTAACATAGACTTACGACAGTCGTAGCGCTACGATAGCTTTGTGAAACGGGGCCCTGGAACCCAAGTGTCCACTACGTCGTGCTTCATGATTATCATCCAAGTCAAGGTTAGTTTAACCGAGGTGTGTTTTCGGCTCAACGGAAGTCTGTGAGGTGACGTGAGGGCAGTTCTCCCAGTGTGGAGACACCTGTTGCTAACACCCCGACTCGTGTGTTGTATCTGGTGCTCAACTGAGTGTAATTTATGTGCAACAAGGTATGGTGGCAGTTAACTTGCCAGTCTCAAGCCTGCACATTCACAAAACACACGTCCTCGTACGTACACAGGCGTATGTAGAGACATGAGGTTAGATTGCGGGCCGGGCGAGGTAAGTTAATCGTGAGTGTGTGATTGTTTTGTTTGATATGGATCATGTCACGTACGACCCCAGCCAATTCGAACAGCAAACATAACAAATAATTATAATTATGAGATCAGTAGCTGGGCCACGTGTTCGCCACCTGTGTTCAGTCGACAGATGGACTCCCCACATCCCTGGCACGGTAGCATATCTTCCTCCTGATTGCTAATTCTCCTTGGGCTTTACGTAGATCAGATAACTTCGCCATGCTTATCGGAACGACACTTGCTGCTTAAAACTTTACCCTCGTCAAAGTGGGTAATACAGGAAATTTAGTTATCCTGTTAATCGCCTACTTGAAGTTTGTCAGTGATTATACCCATATGCTGTATGTACGCAGGCCCTATATTATGGATAAAGCGAGGCTGACATCACCCCCCTTACTGCTCGCAACTCTAGTCTGGAGCTTTGGTTACAATCAGACCATTGCTCCGTACCTGTGAAGACTCCCAGCTAATGTCACTCTGTTGCCTTGTATCGCGCCTCCAAACCCTTGTACAAACACACTGAACCAAACCCGATTAAAGTGCTATCTTTGCTTACATCCTTCGCTACTTGGTCGAAGACTGTCAGTGGCGGTGATAACAGCCTGTTCACCTGACTCAACAAAGCC